CATTCTTAAGTTTTTCAGTTTGTTCTCGTTCCTCAGATTTGATGTTAACATATTAGTTGGGCACATGCCATCAATTAGAGGGCTCTCCCGCTATTCAGTGAGCGCCTTGACCCCCCAATTTGTCATTGTGTTTCTTTGTATGGCTGACGTCTCAGACATTTATTTATATTCATGTGTGTAATTTGCTATTTTCTTATATTTTACTCCTCTTCTTAAGTTTTCGTTCTCTTTTTGAGCGACACTTGACCCTATCAAATAATAACGACTTGTGTACACGACTGGACAGGCGCTGGAATTGGTGACTGTCTCGAAATCTGGCGCCGCTTACACCGCCAGCGGCTAAACAAAAAAATGAAGAAGAGAAAAAAGAAACATCAGCCAAATACATATACAAAAGTCAATAAACTTGAATGTGATGTGATAAGCGAACTGCGGGCGGTATTGCTAGCGGCGGGGGAACTAAATATAAAAAGGGCTTCTGTCCACAAGAGTGGAACGTGCAATCAGTTAGAGACTAGCTCGGACAGCAGAAGGATAATAACCTGTGATATTATAGATAGTGAAGGTTTAGTCAGTGTCTGCGTTTAACTATTTTCTTATTTAAAAAGTTCATAGCTCAGATACTGGAATATCTTGAGCAGAAGCATTAGCTCAGTAGTCGAGCTCGAGCCTCAGGCCTCAAATGCATTAAGCAACACATCTTATATGACCCAAATGCAAGGAGAATTGCGAAAGAAACTTGCTTTAAAAATGATTCTACTCACATTAAATCTTTTTACTTCTAAATTCCTCAATGCTTTTATAAAAACTTTAACAGCTCTGTAAGCCTACAGCAGATTTTTGTGATGGATATTATCGTTTAGAATTATTTTTTATTTATTATGATTTTTATTTAAATTTTGTAAATTCTCTGTTTATTAGCAAAGTACTTTTGATGTGCTTAATATGCTCACTATTATCGATAAATATCGATATATTTATTTAGTTCAATTTTCATTTGAGTTTTTGGACCTTGTTTAATAGAATCTTGTGTAACTCATCATTTCTTCCAATATCTCTTTATGGTTGCTGAAATAAAGTTTTATAGTAATTTTCATTCAGAGTTCAAGCATTGGGTTTTCAGTTTTAAATGGAACTTTCATAAAGTAATCTATAATTTACGTACATATTTCCCAAGTTACAATACTAATGCAAGACTAGTAAATATAAATATGACAGCGCAGGTATTTATCGATAGCTTATGACTGCTTAATCGATAATGTCAGACATTGCTTTAGTTATCGCTCGATTGCAAATTGTGTCTTCAGTTACCAAACGAAGAGGATTGCCTCGAGCTACCCTCAAAATTTGTGTGTTTTTTTTTAGTCGAGTAGCCGAGATAGTTTTATAGAGGGTTGCTTGATTAACTGTGCCTCTTTCTTTAAACATATTTGTGATAGGTTACTCTACGAGTACGGACCCTCTTCTTTTCGTTATTCTCTTTTATTACATTTTAACTAGCTGAACCTTTGGCCTCAGCTGAAACGATGCGTTGACTCATTTTAGTGTTTACTGTGTGTGAGCCATCGCCAGCTGGGTTTCCTTTTCTGTTTCCCCCGACTTACTGTCAACTGGCGCTACAGCAAGCCGTTTGGCATAAATTATAAACGCACGGCGCCCAGCTCGGCCCGGTCGCTGTAAACGGAGTGGCATCCACGGAGTCTCTGTCCCCTGTATCCCAACTCCGACTCCAACTCCAACTCCAGTTCCAGTTCCAGCCTCAGCGTCTGCATCAACTTCAACTTATTCCAGCGATTTTTAACGCGCACAGCGGGTGCCCATTGTCCGCGGCAGTTAAACAAGACGCTTTTCAGCTCGTAAAACACGGCACTGGATTTAGCTGGGTGTATTAATGCTTGTGCGATGTAGCAAAGGGTATATTGGCTTTGACTCATAAGAGTCAGACTTTAGACTTTCAGTTTGAAATGATAGAGCTCTGCTCAAGCTCAATATTGAGAGCTTAATGAAAACTAGTCTATAAAATTGATTTTACTACCCGCTACAGAGTCCTTTAGTAAATAAAATTATCGATTGCAAATCTCGATAACAATCAGTCAAAAATTCATGTTGGGCAATAGTGGATACCCTATCTTATTTTTATACTTGTTGAAAAACTGAAAAGGGCATATTAGCTTGGTGTAAAGTACATCAACATGCAGCGTCAAGACTGAGTATATTGGAATGGGAAATACTGAAGAGATCATCTAAAATAAATCAATTGATATTTTACACCTTAAGCCAGTAAACGCTAATGATTACACCACTCAGAAAAATCTGCTTTTTTATAGTCAATATATCAAGGAGATGATTATAAGAGCATATAACAGTCTCTAAAAAGTTCTTATTGAACTCCAGACGGGTATTTGACAATGGTTTAGACCCGACTGTAAAGTCTCTATATGTCTATATCAATTGAATGATCAGTTTATATTCTAGTTTATTTGGTGCACTTGGTGAACTCTGGGCGAGCATTAGGCAGTGGGTTAGACTCTGCTCAGCTTTCATATTTGTTTTCTTTCTTTGGTATTTTGGTTAATAAAGTTATTGATTTGTGTTTAAGTGGCGTGGGTGAAACGCTTGACCGGCTGTGCTGTGGGTCCCCCTTTTGCGTCCTACAAGGAAAGGTGCCTCAGACTAAACTCAAGCCTGGACCATAACAACAACAACAACCAGATGAAATTAATGTGCCACATTTGTGGGCAATCTCTCTCGCATTTATCAGTTTATTTGTTTTATTAAATGCTGAGCTGCATTTTTGTAGAGGGCTTAAAGCTGACGCCTGTCAATTGCGACATGAGCAAGTCACGTAGGAAGGCCCAAGCTTCAGCCACCCAAACCGACCTCCCTGCGCCCCTTTATCCGCCCGATTTGGGGCGTGGGCGGGCGGCGCGTTTAAGTAGCTTAAACAGACGCGGTGGTCCGAGGCATAACTTTGTCTAATGACTCGGAAATCCGTCACTAATAATAAAAGCCAAGGCTATAAAAGGCAGCGAGCATTTGAGACGTCAGTGCTCGATTCTCGTTCGTCGCGTCTCTCTCTCTCCCTCCCTCAATCCCGCTCTCGCACTCGCTCTGTCTCTCTGCTATATTGGCCAGTTGCAGCAGTTGCTGCTGCATTGGAGAGGAGGCAGACAGGGGCCCGACTCAGCTCGACATTGAGCACGTGTGTCTCATAATCCTATTACCGCGAGAGCAGTTGTCGATTGTCGTTTCTCGATTTTATGAATGAACAACAACATTCGCTGCCAGCGCAGCACAGTCTGTGCAAAAAGTGTGCGACTTATAAGCTTCAATTAATCAACTCGCTTCACCTGGGGGAATCGTAAATATCCTTCAAGTGGGTAACGAGCCAAGAGTGAAATTCGAATGTAGCTTAAACAGGCAACTTACAAATTATATATTTGATGGAAAATATTTATACATTTCCTAAAGAAGTCTACAAACGGTTCTATTTAAATCATATGAAGCCAACTAATTTAAATATTTAAAACTGAGGTAACAGTGCACCAACTTTATTACCTCGAAAAGTTAGCACAAAATTAATTGGTGAACTAGATACAATCGAGGAGCTAATTGAAATAAAACAAGTTTTGTAACCCTTCATATATACAACTTCAGACCTTCTTTCATATCATTGAAAATTTAAATAAATGAAATTTTGCACTTTTTTCAAAACAATCAAAACTTTAACTACCTCTCAAACAATGAAAATAAATAAAATTGTAATATATTAAAACTGAGCTAGATTAACATTCAAAACTTCTAAATGGAATTCTTCTAAATTTAAGTTAGGTTCAGGAACTAGTTCGCACTTGTTCTTCAAGGCAATCACATTAACTGAATCATCTTTAAAGTGCTTTCAATTTGAACTTTAAATTAAATTCGATTAACGCCTGAGGGCACGCCCTCAACAAAAAAGAATACATTGAGCGCAACTCAATTCCTTTTTTTCGCTCGCTCGTTATCTCCTTTTTTATACGATTTCTTTTCGGGGGTGACCCCACGCATGCGCCTCGCATTGCCCGCGTTATTGCTGCGGGGGTTGCAGGAGTGGAGTTGTTTTTGTATTATTTTTTCAAAATGGCTGCTCAAATATTTGATTGTCGTCTGGGCCGAAGTTGGCGCTGTTGTTAAGCCTAACTGTTACTGTCGCAATTCATTGAATTTGCAGGGCTAATTAAACACGTTAACAACTGTCGCGATGCGTTGAAGCGTGCAGGGATAACTTTTTGCCATTTGGGACGCCAGACGCCAGCAAAAAGAACAAAAACTATGGCAAAAAAAAAACAAAACTTTGCACAGTCTGTTGCCCTGGTTCCGTTTCATCGTTTTGATCAGGGCTAAAGACCAGCGGCTTGGTAACTGTCTATATATTGAAACTCCTATCTCCAATATGCCGCATCGTTTGCCTAATGTGAGTGGACAGTTTGCCTGGCGCCCAATCAAGTGTTTTCAAATTGGGTTAAGCGAGTGCCCCAAAAATGTATAAAATCAAGATGAAGAAGAAGAAGAGCAGCAGCAGTCTCTGCTGCAAGCACCGTTCGTGGAAGCGAAAGGCGCTTCCTGGAAGCCACATTGAGTGCTGCCCACTTGCTGCACAATTGCAAATGCCGTTAATGCGACGCTAGCAGCGAGCGCAAGCAGCTGTCCTGGCGCCGCCCTAAACCAATAACAATAGCAACTACTGCAACAACAACAAAATGCGCTCAACACATTCCACTCAAGTGCTCACAGGCAAGAGCGAGAGCGTGCGCATCAAAGGGCAAGCGAGCGAGATAACAACAACTTTTGAGTGAATTGAAGCTTCATACATTGTTGTTGTTGCTGCTGCTGGTACTGTTGTTATTGTTGGCGTTTTCGTCTGCCTCTCGCTGTTCGCCTCGTCGTCGTCGTCGTTTGTTGGCTACGCCGCAGCCGACGCTTTCCAATGGGCGATTGGGCAAATTCAGTTGGCACTCAGCTTTATGTGACAATTCGTCGGGCAAGCGGACGACAGCTGAAACAATAAAACGGTAAAAGCTTTATGCCGACGGCTACACAACAAGAAAGCAAAAAAAACACAGTAAAAATAATAATAAATTCGCAGCGTTAAAATTAATTTGGGACAAATTAATTTGCCTAACGGAACTACTCAATTAACACTGGAAAAAATGAATAATTAAACGACGCGCGTGCAATAAAAATTATTGAAAGAAATTAACAAAAGAATTATGCACACAAATTTGTAGCGTTTGTCAACACTTGTTCTGTTTTATATGCATTTGATAACACTCATTAAATTTTAATTAATTGCTCGATTAAACGATCGTCATGTTTGCGCAGTCGCAGCGAGTTTGATAAGCAACAACAACAAAAACAGCAACACTTGGAATATGTTGTATAATGTGCCGTGCTATCAAAACTTTTCAACACTGGATTACTACAAGGTGAGCAATAAATTCGTTATGATTTTGTATTATTTTGGAATTGCTTCTCCATTGCCCGTTGGCAGTCAAATAGGCCGCGGATTGTGTTTATCTGAGTTCCTCATCTATTTATGTCACTTAATATACCCATATACCATTTCATAGAGATTTGTGTATATTATATCCATTTAGTTGAGCACTTTCTGGAACGTAAGATTGAAGAGTTTTCTGTTTTGATTTGTTTGCAATCAACAAAAATATCAATTTTACTGCTAAGTTTTGTTTTCGTATTATTTATGTTACTTAAGAATTAAATTTTGTTTCTGCTACACTTTAAAGTTGCTTAATGCTTGAAATTCCTTCCAAACAAATCTGGTCTTGAGTCACTGTCAAGATAATGACAGGTTCGAACTATCGTGATATAAGATATATACAAATATTTTAATAATTTATTTAGTATTAAGTTATAAATAATATACATTCACCTTGATGACCCTGAGATCTGACAGATCGATCAGAAGGAAACCTAATTTGAAATAGACCTTTTACAAAATATATAAGTAAACAGCTCTTGAATTTGTATTTTATTTAACTCTAAGATCGAGAAGACATGTGAGGTCTAACAGATGTGTGAGCATATAAAATATTTTTTATAAAATCCTGTAATAGTTCATACCAAAATGTTAGCCTATCTTCTCGATCTTTTGCCATTTCTAGTCTAGTATTCAATTGCCTCTGACCACACATATTGCATAATGCTCAGCTTATCTTAAACTCGAGCGAAGTACCTTTCCAACTCTTCAGCTCTTAAGACTTTAACTTTTCAACTTTCCAACTTTTGCTTTAAACCTACAGAAAATCTGAAATTTTGATATGCTTTTCCACATGAACTGCGCGTAATTACAAGCCCTTAAACCAAACCCTAGACGGAGTTACAGATTCGAGAGATATCCTGCATTGAGCTGTAAGAAATCAAAAAACAAAATGGAAAAAAGGCAGAGAAACTGCAAATCTTTGGCTACCGAACTGAACCCTATAGAAATGAGCCTTTAAATACTTTGGCCAGACAAAAGGCCAAAAGACAGTAGTCAAAAGGGAATTTTCAGCTTAAAAAGGGCACACAACAAAATAAAAGGATCCTGTCGATCGAGTCATTTGACCAGAAATAAAACCACAAAAGCCAGACAAAACGAATACGAATATGAACGTGAATATGTGCCTATGAATGTAAATGTGAATGTGAATACAAATACCAGAAGGCAGTAGGTCAAAACGGAGCTACTGATAGATAGATCAGTGTAGAAATCTTTGCCGCGTTGTTGATTTTCCGTTGATTGACAGTTATTATGTGTGCGCACTCGCTCTCTCTTTTTTCGCTTTGCTTGCTATCCTTGTCACTTGGTTGCCCGGGCAGCCAGTCTCATTACTGTTAGCTTGTGCCACACCCCCTGCCGCCTCTAGCTGGCGTAACTTGAGCGGAGTTGTTGGAGCAAAGCAATTTGCGTTGTTGTCGCTGCTGATGCTGATGTTGTTGTTGGCGTTGCCAGGCGAAACGAGCAAATAGCAAAAAAATACACTGCACAAAATTTCGTTTTAATGCATTTATTTAGTATATACGCTGCATGAAAGTGTGATTTAAGCAACTTACACATTTGTGTGGATAAATTCATTTTCGAATTTCCTCATTCAGAGACTTAAATTGAGCTTAAATCGTTTAACTCAATTCAAATTTATTTCCAGCGCAAATCTTTTTTTGTTTTGGATATGAGTTTAGTTGGTATTTGGGTTCGATTTCAGTTTTCAAACGATTCAATTGATCTAAAACTGAATATTTGTGATAATAATATAATATAAAATCCTAGCACTTACTATTGCACTGCTTGAACATCTCTCTCTCTTTATATATCAAATTGCGCTATATTTCACTTCTCTTTTAATAATGTTATTTTGGTGTAGTTTTCCATTTGAAGATTTTTATTTTATTTGATATATCTCAAAGCTTTTGGACTTGGCTTTAATTTATTTACTGTGTACATTTGGAGCAGCAACAAAATATCGACCATCGATGCGATTTTTTGGGGCGATGCTGGCAAGACTGCCTCTGCCTTTGTTGCTCCGAGCGCCGCCATTTTGTTTGTCTATTTGTCAATCTCATAAATGCAAATGCCAGAGCAATGCGAACGACGAGCTCTGCGGGCTGAGCACTCGTCCAGGCTGCTGCTGCTGCTGCTGCTGTTGAAGCCATTAGCAAATAATTTCAGCGAAATTTTTATTCAGCATTGTTGTGCTCAGGCACACACACACACACACGTACACAGACAGACAAATGCCGTCAGGATAATTTCATTGAAATTTGAGTCGTCAAAAGGAGCAGCAACGAGGCAAAATATACAAAAGGACGCCCTGCAGATGCCTTGCGCTTTTCGCTTTTCGTTGTTGTGCGCTACGGGCGCGCCATTATAACAACAAACAATACAAACAGCAGCAGGAGCAGGAGCAGGAGCAGTTCATGGGAGGGGAAGTATTTGGGAAGTGGGGGCAGGCACATATAGCTATATATATGGCTGTGGCTGTAGCTGTGGCTGTTGCTGTTGTTGCCCCCGCAGCACTTGAACACTGCGGGTTTTTTAATTATACCCTCGAAGCATTACAATTTATTTAAAAATGGGCATGTTGCGGTTGTGCAGTTGCGTAAAACCTTCGGATTATATACAGCCTAATTAATATATAACTAGCTGTCTTATATGTTAAACCAATGCTACTTTTTTTCATTTAAAAAAAGACTATCGACTTGCAGATGGTAGTAAATCTGCAAAAGTTAGATTCATTTGATTTACAAAAATGATCGTTTTCTATATATCGATAAATATTTCATTCACCGTTCGGGTTATTCTACTCTTGCATTAGACGTATGGACATGCAGTTGAATTTGAGAGAACCAGATTAATATTCGAGATTTATGCATATATGTCATAGGCAGCGCAGTGTTTTCGATAATTATTGATCTACAAACTCTGAAAGACTTGGCTGACTTGGCCAACTTTAAACGATATTAAGTATATATCAATAGTAAAGGGTATCTATTATCAATGCGAATTGAGTACAGGGTATCTGCTAGTCAACAGACAACAGTTTAAGTGCATTCGCTTGTTCACATCTTATGCGCTGTCCGCACTCTCCATTACAGCCACGCCCCTTACGCACAACATTTAAATGTTTGTTTTTTTTGTGTGCTCGAGATTGGCGTTGGGGGAGGGAAGGAGAGGGAGAAGGAGAGCGCAATTATGGCAGGCTCGGCTTAATGTCCTGCGACAGTTTTACAGCATAATCTGCAATCTTTGCGCTCTTAAGCCGCTTTCTGTGCCTCGCACAGGGTCAAGGGTCGGCTTAAATGGCAAATGGTTTCGATGCTCTCTCTCATATATTTGCTGGGCGTGGCACAGGAAGTGCAGCCAGAGGCACGAGATGGCATCTGCCCTTCCTGCTACCTGTACTCATGCACAGCATGAAATAGCAACAGTTAAACCGCGCGTCTCTCAAATGAACTTGTTTGTTTACACGGCTCTAAATGTGTTTGTTCTTCCGTATTGAAGCTGAATTTCAGCAGTAGCAATAACAAATTCTTAAATAAATAAATAATATGTGGGGGCCAAAGCTTGGCAAAGACAGTCGCCATATAGGTACGGGCCGCAACTGCAAAGTGTCTGAGGATCAGGTTTATTTTCAAAGTAATTTGACGGACATGAGATTTGCGAAAGCGCGCTTTCAGCTGTTTGAAGCCAATTGAATTCTGCAGGTTTAGGTGTACAATTAGAAATATGTCTGATCTGCAAGAATTTAGCAGACGATTTTTAGTTTTGATAATCTTCTTAATCGATATATCTCTCTAGAAACTCTTTGCTTGAATGGGTACTTTAAATAATAATTTGCCATGTGTAAATCCTGGTAAATCCTGAATGGATACTTTAAATAATAATTTGCCATGTGTAAATCCTGGTAGTCCGAGCAACTCTTTATGCAATTGATCCTTTAAATAATCAGAATATTTTTTATCGTAATATTTCTTAGGCTTGGAAATAAATCAAGACTTAAAAAAAATAAATAAATAAATATTAAAACATTACTTAAATCTAGTTTGGATATGTATACATCTATGGGAAATTCTGAAGGAAATATAAATATATTAAAAGTCTAAAACATATACTAATAATTTAACAATAATAATAATCGCTCGTAAATCATTTTCGAAATCTTTTTTAATTTTCATTTTACACCCTTTCTGGAACGTGTGGTCTGCTTATCGCATCCCCTACCTGCGACATGATGTGGCTTATCAGACGTAAGCTGACGTCATGTTTGCTTAAAAAAGCCACAAAATATATGCAATAAATTAGCATGCGAGCTACTTGGATTACATAAAATGCAAGGTGACAGCCACTCAAATGCCACTCATTCGTCGTCAGGGAGAGAGCTCCTGAAGCTCATACCCATATGGTGTTATGTGTGTGCTAGAGAGACCTTCCGCTTGGAGGCATTTGCTTTGTTCCTTTCATTGTCCTGTTGCTTTGGTACATAATCCGTTCGAGCTTAGCCCATTTATCCTGTTTTATGTCGCCTGTCAGGCGTGCAGACTGTAAAAATTAGAGCAACCTGCCTGGACGCCGTATCTGAGTGGTTTGTTTTCGTTGGATTTAGCCCTAATGCCCGCTAATGATTGCAAATATTTGGCCAGTCGAGGATTTGCGAACCTCTGACTCATCCGGTAGTCTTTCTAAATTTAAGACGGCACCGAAAATAGATCAAATCGAAAATGGAATAGACCATTAGAGACAAGTCGTGTCGGGAGTCTGCACAAAATCAATTGTCACATTCGACAGCATATTTTGAGCTGTACCTATATGATCTATAGATAGCTGAAAAGTCCGCTATTTTTATATACTTTCCTGATTTTCATCCAAAATATTCAAAATAGATCTGGCTAGAAAGTGTCAATTGACGCAAAAGCCAGACCAGACACTAAT